AGAGAGAGAGAGAGAGAGAGAGAGAGAGAGAGAGAGAAAAAGAGAGAGAGAGAATGGACAGGGTCAATCATTGTTCGCATCATTTGCCACACATAACTCTTCAGACTTTCAAGTTGCCGTGTGGAAGTGTAAAAAAAAAACCCAAACAAGACGCAAAAACAAAACCCAGTTTCATTATAAAATAATAATAATTATGATAGATAGCATTTGTAGAGTGCAAATCCCCGCTCAACAGCAAGCTCTATGAGCTTCACAATCTATACTATTACCCCAGCAGAGCTGATAGCATACTGAAACAACCTTAACTTCCTGGGAAGCATACAGTGCAAGCAGCCATTTATAGGCGCTAAAACACTAACAAACTGACAAGATAAAACAAAAGAACGCCTCGATATACGCACTCTGTTCTCCTATCTTGTCTATGTAGACTAACAGAAAACTGGGAATCACACACACACACAGACACACACACACACACACACAAACACACACACACGACCTGCACGCCCAGAGAAAACAACCACAGCCCTCTGTAGGACGAGACACGATTACTTTTAAGGACAAGCGGGCAAACCCACGTTTAGGAGGTTTCCAGAAATCTTGACCTACACTAAAAGTGGGCATTGCCCTACCTATAGGAGAAGTTTGGTTTCATTGGTGTGTATATTTGTTTAGTTATAGAAAAAACTCTCCTTATGTTTTAAAGAAATTGAACAAGGGGCAAAAAATTTCCCTTCGATTTTCTCAAAACACCATTTTTCGGGATAGCCCCCTTTAGTTTTAGCAGTAAGTGATGGCACTTGTAACACAATAAAGTCAAATAAGTGCCGAAGATTAGACATTTTACAAGAGAGTAACAAACACAAAAAAAAGAAGGAGAGGGGGTTAGAGACGATAGATTTTTTATAGGAAAGAAGAAGCAAACCACACTAGAGCACCCGCCAACCACTAACAAAGCCCCCTTGTGTTTAAAAGCGACCACAAGAGACACAGACCAGACAAGGGAGAGAAGAACATGACAGGTTGACCTACTTCCATCCTGAGTGACGGGCACCGTATCCTCCGCTCCCTCCTGTTTCCTCTTCATGCTGGCGCCCGTGGTCACTTTGCCCATGGTGACGTCACAACCCCGGGCTCACTGCTCACTCTGATGACGTCAGTGAGGTGATCACACAAGACAGAAGACGCGACGAAGTAGTACCGCGGGTAAGCCAAAGACTGGATACAGAATGCCAGTGACGCGCACACAGTCTCAGTCACTGGACACAGACAGAATCTCACAATGTCGTTTCGGCACCAGCGGTCCCTGAGTGTTCTCTGTACCAGCGGTCACTGAGTGTTCTCTGTACCAGCGGTCACTGAGTGTTCTCTATACCAGCGGTCACTGAGTGTTCTCTGTACCAGCGGTCATTTATGTATTGCTCCAAGTTATACACGTACACACCCACCCACCCACAAACAAACAGACACGACGATCTTGGTGTGTGTGAGCCGATCCAATTGTTGTCGTTGCACGACAAGCGATAGACAGGACCAGGCGATGTAGGGTGCACGTCGATCAAGCGATGGACATCTGATCTGCAGGACTGGTCGGTCAGTTGACGGACATCTGATTTACAGGACTGGTGCGACAAGCGATGGACAGGCGATCTACAACAACGCGTCCCTGGGGGCTAATTGGCTAGTCGGCGTCAGATAAGACGGTTAGGTACCGTGTGGGCGTCACCAGCTGAGTCTAGTGTCAACACAAGAGGAGGCGGGGGGTGGGGGTGGTCAACA